TGGAGGCTACGGCAGGACGATAGTGAGTTTGAAGCCAACCTGGGTTACAGACATAATGAGACCCTGCCTCGGAAAAACAAATAAAGAAAACTTTAAAAAGTTTTTTCCTCTTTTCCAAATGATAGCTTTTCTACTATGAGTATCTTTTCACTTTTCTGGTTAATCTGAAGCAGGCCCCTCACATCAACTATTTACACTTTAATATTTTCTCTCTCTCTTTTTTTTTTTGTACCAGAAATTGAACTCAGGACCTTGTGCTTGCCAGGCAGGAGCTTATGCTACTGAGCTATATCCCCAGCCCCTTTAATATTTTCTCATCTTTACCTCCATGATACATATGCTTTCTAAAATGTACATCTATTTTTTTTTTCCTTTTGGTGTTTTCACACAGGGTCTCACTACACTGTCCAGAGTAGCCTCAAATGTGTGGTCCTCTTGCCTCAGCCTCCTGAGAGCTGGGATTACAGGTGTGCACCACAGTGCCTGGCTTTGAAATGTGTATGTAAGTGTAACGTCTTACACATAAGTAAGGTCTAAGTGTTAGCTGGCCATCATATTTTTATCTCTCCCCAGCTACCCATCCTATCAAGGACATGCTATACTTTACACGGTATCTATCTTTTGCTGATTATGTGTCACAGTTCTTTAGCTTTTTAACATATGGTACCTTGAAATAGGGTGCCTATTTTTTTTTGTTTTTTTTTGAGACAGGGTCTTGCTCTGCAGTTCAGGCTGGCCTTGAGCTCACTTTGTAGCCCAGGCTGGCCTTGAACTAGCAACGATCCTCCTGCCTCAGGCCTCCTGAATGCTGGGATTACAGGCATGCACCACCACACCCAGCCTATTTTCTTTTTTTTTGTCAGACAAGGCCTCACTATGTTGCTCAGGCTGGTCTCCAGCACCTGGTCCTAAGCAAACCTCCTGCCTCAGCTCACAGGTAGCTGGTACTATAGACGTGCATCACTACAAAAAGCATTATGTTGCTCATGAAGCAGATACTTTAGGGAAAAAACCTTCTAAGTGTCTTGGCAGTTAAACAATAAAATCTCTATAAATGTAAAAAAAAAAGTACAATTAAAAAGTAAGTATAAACCAGGTGTGGTGGCACATGCCTATAATCCCAGCACTCACACCTGTAATCCCAGCACTCAGGAGGCTGAGGCAGGAGGATTGTTGCAAGTTCGAGGCCAGCCTGGGCTACAAAGTGAGCTCAAGGCCAGTTTGAACCACATAGCAAGACCCTGTCTCAAAAAAAAAAAAATAGTAAGTATAGCTAGACACAGTGGTGCATACCCGCAGCATTCAGGAGGCTGAGGCAGAAGGACCACTCAAGTCTGAGGCCACCCCAGGCTATATATTGAGTTCAAGACCACCCTGAAAGACATAGTGACACTGTCTCAAAAAAAAAAGTAGATATAGCCAGGTGTAACGATGCATGCCTATAATCACAGCTCCTGAGAAGACAGAGGTTAGGAGAATTGCAAGTTCAGGGCCAGCCTGAGAATTTAGGAAGACCCTATTGCAAATTTAAAAATATAAATAAAAATTAAAAAGTAGGTATTCATAGCAAAAATGCCAATGTGTAAGACCCAGAACCTCCCCACCAAAGCAAAACCCAAATACCAACAACCTAAAAATCCCTCAAAAAAGGTTAGGCCGACACACACCTATAATCCCAACACTTGAGTGGCTGAGGCAGGATTGTGAGTTCGAGGACAGTGTAAGCTAATGAGACCCTGTCTCAAAAAAAAAAAAAGTTAAAGTTAAAGCCTTGGGCTGGGGACATAGCTCAGTGGCACAAGAGCCTGCCTGGCAAGTGCGACGTCCAGAGTTTGATCCCCAGTACCGCCAAAAAAAAAGAAAAAAAAAAAAAAGTTAAAGCCTTTTGGATTTAGGTTTTATATGAAATTCCAAGTTGGGCATGATGGTGCATGGCTATAATCCCAGTACTCAGGAAACTGAGGCAGTAGGATCGCCCTGAGTTCAAGACCAGCCCAAGATACAGAGTGAGTTCAAGGACAGCCTGAACTGAATACCAAGACCCTGTCTTCCCCTGCGCCCCCAAAAATAAGTCGGCCAGCTAACAAAGCAGCCCAAAACTTCTGTTGAAGGCTTGGTTGGCATCTGATGGGACCTGAGGACCTGAATGGGTCAGGAGGGCTCTACCTGCATCAAGCGGCTTGATCCATTGATGAATTCCTGCTGAATGGGTTTAGTGGGAGGTGGGGGAGGTGGGGCCTACGTGGATGGGGCAGGGCCCTGAGGGCAGCCTTTGGAGGACAGCTTGGCCCACCTTCGCTCTCTGGCTCTTCCCCTGGCCTCTGCTTCCTGGCAGGCAGGAGGTGTGCAGCTTTGGCCCACCACTGCCTCCAACACGATGCTCCTCCCTAGACCCCTTCTCTGCACAGAAACCTCTGAGACTGTGAGCCAGATAAGCCTTTCCTCTTTGTTGTGGGTTTTTTTTTTGTTGTTGTTGTTGTTTTTCCGGTACTTGGTCACGGTGATGAAAACCTTACTAACACAAATAAATATATCTAAAGACATTAACAATAAAATGTGAGAGAACTGCTTTCTCCTTCTGAAGTACCATAAAAACTTCTAAAAATAAAAAGGTAAACAGTTGGCATGGGGATACATGCACAAGCCCCTGGATTCAACCTTCAGCAGGGCAAAAACCAAAAAGCCAACCAAATAAAAAAACAAAAATTTATATATATGGCTATCATGTGACAGAGAAGGTTGTATCACTTTTCAATAGTTATTCTCTAAACAAAACTGTATAGAGGCTGGGCGTGGTGGCACATGCCTTGGAATCCCAGCACTCGGAAGGCTGAGGCAGGAGGATTCCTGCCAGTTCAAGGCCAGCCTGGGCTACAAAGTGAGCTCAAGGCCAGCCTGAACTGCATAGCGAGACCGTTTCAAAAAAACAAAAACAAAAACAAAAACAAAAAAACTGTATAGAAACTGCTGAATATAGGAAATGTAACAGTGTATGCAACAAATAAAAACTAAATTATATATCTTTCAAATATCAGAAATATTTGAGGATTAGAATCTTTAGAGTAAAAAATTGTGATATTTTCAAATATACCAACCTTAGAAATAACTCCACTATTTTATTTTATTTTTGGGGGGCGGGGTGGTGGTTTTTGAGCCAGGGTCTCACTCTGTAGCCCAGGCCAGGCTCGATCTCACAGTGATCCTCCTGCCTTGGCTTCCGGAGTGCTGCGATTACAGGTATGCACCACCATGCCCAGCACTCACTATTTTAATCTATCGTAATTTCATAAATAAGGGTGATTGGTAGACATTTTTAAAAGATATGAAGAAAAGCCTCGAAAATAATGTGCTTCAAGCATAAAAAATGCTAAAATCTCTCAAAATTATGAGCAGTGTCTTCCAAGTTATTTGTATCACCAACATCCCAGGCAAAAATGATAACCCTGTGTGTGTGTGTGTGTGTGTGTGTGTGTCTGTGTATCTCACTGGAAATTGTACACATAAAATGATATATCTATATTTAACTATAATGAATTTGGTAGGTGTAGAATCTAAGTAAAGAAGATAATGGAGTAATTTAAATTAAAATATTCACTTTCAGTCATGACAGAAAGTTTATGCATTTTTTTGGGTACTAGGAATCAAACTCAGGACCTCTCCTGTGCCAGGCAGGCGCTGTGCCGCTGAGCTATATCCCTGGCCCCAGTTTCTGCATCTTTCAGAGAGATTTTTGAGATCATCCCCAACAGGAAGAGTAAGAGATGACAAACACGTGGAGGACAGGATTCAAAGGAAACTAGACTATGAAGAAACAGTACCACTAGAACTGATAACAGGAAAAATAATCCTAAAGTGTCAGATTGTTGGAAAGTAGAAGAAAAGCTTAGGTAAAGCTCTCCTGGGCTACTCACAACTACAGCTCACTGGCAAAGTAATCTGCTTAACAAACACAAGGCCCGGGTTCAAACCCTAGCACCATGGAAAAACAAAACAAAACAAAAAGCTCCTGATTTGCTAGTCTCAATAGTATACATAAAAATGGCTCAAGAATTTGGGATCAGCCCAGGCTATAATAAGACCCCAATTTTAAAAAGCCACAAAAAGTTAAAAGCAAAAAAAAACCAACCCAAAATCCTCAAAATGATCTTGCGTTGGGTTTAATTTCTTACATTCCCTGTTTTTCAGGGAAACAGTTCTCCTCATTACCATGGACTGATGATAGCCAGTGACTCCCAGACAAAGAACAATGGTACCAATCAGCTTTCACTCCTGTCTCTCCTGCTGCTTCTCTGCCAAGTGCTCTAAAAGACAACTATGTGAAGCACCCAATTATAAACAGGAAAAGCTACATTATTGAAAAATAAGACCAACACACTCATGAGGGTTCCAAAAGGAAAACAGTTTGAAGGTCCAGAGCTGAACACAAACTACTGTGGACAAAGACACATAATCCTAATCACAAGCAGTGGTCAATATAATAGTTGTTTCAGGGGCTGGGGGTTTAGCTCAGCTGCACAGCGCCTGCCTGGCAAGCACGAGGTCATGAGTTCGATTCCCGGTACCAGAAAACAAACAAAAAATAGTTGTTTCATTTGCTTTCTCTGCAAGATTAATTAGCATTATATATAATATATGCCTTATTACTAAGATCTTTCAGCTTTGGAACTTTTTTTTTTTTTTTCAATTTTTTTTTTGTTTTTTTTTCCAGTACTGGGAACTGAACTCAAGACCTCACGCTTGGCAGGCAGGCGCTGTGCCGCTGAGCTAAATCCCCAGCCCCTCGGCTTTGGAACTTTAATATCTTTTGATTGCCCAGACTCTCATCTTGTCTTTCAGTTATATAGAAGCCAAACCCTTTGTAACACTTCAGGCTAATTAAATGAAAAAAGCAATTCAATTCTATAAAACAACTACTACAAGCGGACACTACATGTATACTGTCTTCCATTTGTGAATCATTACCTCTTTAATAAGAATATCTGATTATATACGGTACTTACTGCTGAAAAGCTGCCATTGTATTCTCCAAATTTTCTCCGGCACCTGTGAAGACATTAAAATTTACTAGATATTTTGAACGTGTTATTTTTCTAGAAATGAACACAGTTAATCAATCCTGATGCTTACTTATTATGGAGAGTTACAGTACAAATCTTTTGTGAGTTTTTTTTCTTTTTTTTTTTCTTTTGTGAGTTTTTAAAAAAAATTTTTAGCTTTACCAATAGGAATCAATGATCAAAAACAGTAGAGTACCTACGAAGGATGTACAAGGCCCGGGGTTTGACCCCAATACCACCAAAAAAAGGAGAAGGAAGAGCAGAAGGAAGGAGAAGGAAGAAAGAGGAGGAGAAGCAGGAGAAGGAAGAGGAAGGAGGGAAAAGGAGGAGGAAGAGGAGGAGGAAGAGGAGGAAGAGAGTGGGGGTGCAGGGGTGGGAGGGGAAGAGACAGAAGCAACAGGAGCAGAAGGAGAAAAGTCACAGAAACCCAGGAGGATAAAAAAAAAAAAAACCAAGAGGATTAAGAAAATCTAAAAATAATTTTTAGATCTATCATCTGTTTCTTTGTCAAAGGAAAGACAGAAGAGGATTTGGTACATATGCATCTCTATAACAAAATTAAAGTCTTATACCTATCTCTGCTAAGGTATCTATCACGTTACAACATAATTATTTACTTGTCTCTTTTCTCCCTTAGCCATGAATTGGCTAAAAAGAAGTGACTGTTTTAATCACCTGGGTGAAAGCAGTATGGTGTAGTATTTGAGGATGAGACTATGGAGTAAGGATGCCTGGTCTCATTTTGATTATTACAGTTGATACATGATAGAAAACAGTTGCAGTAAATATGGAAGTTATTTTTTTCAAAAGAAAGTGCTCTTCTGCAGTTAGATGACCCTTGGTTAGATGAGGTTAACAGATTTTTTTAAAAATTTATTTATTGGGGCTGGGGATTTAGCTCAGCGGCAAAAGCGCCTGCCTGGCAGGCGCAAGGTCGTGAGTTCGGTTCCCGGTACCGGAGAAAAACCAAAAAACAAAAAAACAAAACAAAAAAATTTATTTATTTATTTAGTCTTTTTGAGACAGGGTCTCGCTACGCAGTTCAGGCTGGCCTTGAGTTCACTTTGTAGCACAGGCTGATCTCAAAATCGGAACAATCCTCCTGTCTCAGCCTCCCAAGTGCTGGAACTACAGGCATGTGCCACCACGCCCAGCTTGTTAACAGATCTTTTACTCAAAAAACTATAAATATATGTTATATTCAGATAATCAATATTCAAGAACAAAACCAGGCATGGCAGTGCACGCTTGTAATCCCAGCTCAGGCTGAGGCAGGAGGATCGCTGTGAGTTCAAGGCCAATTTAAGCTACAAAGTGAGTTCAAGGCCAGCCTGAACTGCATAATGAAACCCTGTCTTGAAAAGATCCCCCCAAAATATATATATACACACATATATATACATTCATATATATACACATATATATTCATAGTCAAGAACAGTGCACTCTTTAGAATATTACCAAAAAGATAAAAGTGCTAATGTGGTTATTAGTAAGTTAAGTTAAATGACTAACGGTTTAGTGCAAGGAAATTAAAAAGAAAAAAGAAGTCATCATGAAGTGCCTCTCCCGTATCAAATCTGGTACAATCCTAGCATCAAAATGACAGTGGCAGAGGGGCTGGGGATTTAGCTCAGCGGCAAAAGCGCCTGCCTGGCAAGTGCAAGGTCGTGAGTTCGGTTCCCGGTACCGGAGAAAAACCAAAAAAAAAAAAAAAAAAAAAAAGACAGTGGCAGATTTTAAACCACAGAATAAAATAGGAAATTCTGAATCTTTTTAAAACCAAATAGATTGAAAATCTGACACATAACAGGCTATTTGTGTAGTTTCAAAGTGCTCCCTCCAAAAATAATAATTATAAAGAAAGTAAGGGTAACATCACACTGGTGGAGGCTGGCAGTCACCACGGTCAGCTGCTGATCAAAGTCAGTATCACACTGACTTCAGTGTCTTTTTAATTTCTTTTTCCCTAACCAACAGAAGTTTCACCTAACAAATCAAATTAATAGTAATTATCTCTAGATGGTTAGAGTACAGATGACTTTTCTATTCTAATATGCGTTCTCCTATACCTTATAAACCTTCTACAATGAATATGTATTACTTTTAAAATAGAGAGATCTGGCATTTGTGTCTGTTATCGTCTTAACTTGTGTACTACATGGACAGGTACAAAAAAATAAATCCTTTTTTGCAACCCAGAACTCACTGTTTAGTATGAGGTGTTTTTTGTTGTTGTTATTGTTTTTTTGTACCAGGAATTGAACTCAGGACCTCATGCTTGCCAGGCAGGAGCTATGCCGCTGAGCTACATCCCCGACCCTCAGTATGAGTTTTGATGTATGTAAGAAGAAATATTATTGCTAGGCGCAGTGGTACAAGTCTGTGACCCTGCAACTCCTGAGGCTGAGGCAAGAGAAATGAAGCCTGGACTGGACGGTGAGACTATACCTCAGAAAACAAAGCAAGTACAAAAAATTAAGATAACTTAATAAAAATTTAAAAGATAGTGTTAATGAGTAAAAAATCAAATCAAATCCAATGGATCAGGCTGAAGCAGGAGGATCACCTGAACCCAGGAGTTTGGGGCCATCCTGGCCAACACAGTGAGCCCCTGTCTCAAAAAGATAGGGGTCAGCTGGGCATGGTGATGCATGCCTGTAATCCCAGCACTTGGGAGGCTGAGGCAGGAGGACTGCTGCTGCTGCTGTGAGTTTCAGGTTAGCCTGGGCTACACAGTGAGTTCAAGGCCAGCCTGCACTACACAGTGAGACCCTGTCTCAAAAAAAAAGAGGGGTCAATGCCTATGAAGATGCCATCTGCCTGGAACATTCTCATCAGAGTCTCCCAATCAGTCTCGCCCAACTTTCCATAAAGCACTTTCTTATCCTTCTGGATTACAGTGGTTCTTATTATATTTAGGGTTAGTTGTTTGTTTTGTTGTTTTGAGACAGGGTCTCACTATGTAATGCAGGCTGGCCTTGAACTTGCTGATGTAGCCCAGGCTGGCATCTTGCCTCTCTTCCCCAGTGCAGGTGTGCGCCACCATGCCTGGCATATATTTAAAGTTAATGATTTGAACTCGTGGTTCCCAATCATTTTAGGTCTCTGACTTTAAACTTTAAAAACTTAAATTTTGGGATTGGGGATTTAGCTCAGCAGCACAGCGCCTGCCTGGCAAGCACAAGGTCGTGAGTTTGATTCCTAGTACCAGAAGAAAAACAAATAAACAACAACAAAAAAACCACTTAAATTTTATTCCCTTATTTGAAAATAACAATAAACTCATTATATGTTAAAATGACATTTTTATGAAAAAATAGCTATTTCTAAAATTTAAAAAAAAATTCGTGAAAAGGTGACATTGTTTTACATTTTGCAAATCTCTTTAATGTCTGGCTTAACAGGAAGCAGAGAGACGCACACCTGCTTAGTACATGTCTACCTTCAAAAATAAGCAGTTGGAAAAGAAAGACTCTTCTGCATATTGTATCATGGGGCAGGAGGCGTGGCTCAGTGTGCAAAGCCCTAGGTTCAATCCCCAATAACACCAAAGAAAAGAAATCATAAACCAAACAAAAAAAGACTATACCAAGATTTAACAACTGGTACATTCCTCCTTCCTTTCTCTTTTCTTTTGTAGCACTAGGGGTTGAACCCAAGAAGCACTAACCTACATCTCCAGTAGGTTTTATCTAGAGACAGGGTGGTGCTAAATTGCTTGGGCTGGGCTTGAATTCGTAATACCCCTGCCTCAGCCTACCAAGTGGCTGGGATTACAGGAAAGTGCCACCACACCCAGCAACAAATGGTAGTTTCTTAAAAGTTGGTGGCAGTGTAGAATCTGAACCCTACTGATGACCTCTTCCTACTTTTTTCCATGACATCCCATTGGCGCACCTTTAACTTTGAATGGATCTTTCACATATATGGTTTTATGACATCATACATTGGTCATCTGGAAAATACTGATTCACTGAATTACGTTGACCTGTAAAATGTTCACACATTTTGTTGTGCAGTTTTTTTCTTCAGTACTGGAGACTGAATCTAGGGAGCACTGAGCTACATTCCAGCCCTTTTTCTAGTTTTTATTTTGAGGCAGGGTCTCACTAAATTGCCCAGGCTGACCTCAAACCTGCAATCTTCCTAAGAGCATTAAGAATAGCTGGATTTACAGGCATGTGCCACTTGGTTCATTATGCAGTATTTTTAAAAAAAAAATCACAATTGTTAGCTTGGTGTGATGGTGCACACCTGTCATACCAGCACTTGGGAGGCTGAGGCAGGAGTCTGAGGCCAGCCTGGGCTACATAGTGAGTTCAAGGCCGACCTGTACTACATAGCGAGACCCTGCCTCTAAACAAATAAGTAAGTAAAATGCGTACTCAAGAGTTGAAATTTATTGTTGGGCATAGTAGCACATGCCTATAGTTCTAACACTCAGGAGGCTGAGGCCGAAAAATCACAAATTCCAGGCCGGCCTGGACTTTTGGACTATATAGCAAGAATTTTTCTCAAAAAATGGGTGAAATTTAATAAAGTTTATAATTTTTTTTTGTTTGTTTTTTTGAAACAGGGTCTCACTATGTAGTTTAGGCTGGCCTTGAACTCACTATGTAGCCTAGGCTGGCCTGAAACTCCCAGAGCTCCTCCTGCCTCAGCCTCCCTGGGATAACAGGCATGAGCTACCATGCCTGGCTGAAAGTCAACATTTTCCATTACTCTTGGGCAAAATGTTACAGGTCTTGCTGTAGTACAGTCACTGTAATATAGTCACTACTAAAATTTTGAAAAGGTTAAAAAAAATTTGAAAAGGTGAGCACGCCAGGCATGGTGATATACTTCTGTTATCCCAGCACTTGGGAGGCTGAGGCAGGAGGATCCCTGTGAGTTCAAGGCCAGCCTAGGCTACATAATCAAGACCAGTATGCACTACACAGCAAGACCCTATCTCAAAAACAACAACAACAAAAAAGAAAGAAA